GTAGGTTCTTAATTGGTAACTTTACTAAATATGGGAAGTAACCAATTTACAAAAATTCCAACCCCTTTGCCTCTTTGGAGTTGGTAAATATTTCTGGAACAGGCAAACTGAGAGTGCATTTTCATGTTTGCATTGGCACTCCCAGAGTGGCTGTAACTGGAATGTATACTCTCCATTTCCACTTTCATATATAGGCAGGGATACTACAATGCCTTGTTCATGTCTGTTCTCTCTCATTATACAAATATGGCCCATAAATTATGGGCTTTGGCATAGATAAAGGAGGTTGTGTTTATCTGTTATCCATGGGAGTGCCCGTTAATGTCATCAGTGAGTTTTTTTTCCTTTTCCTTACCATATAAGGGCAGAAGTTTAGTTTGGCAGTAGCCACTTGGTCTTAACACAGCAAGTTGGGTGAAACCTTCTCTGTATAACTACAGTTTGCATGAAATAAAAAGATTTGACCTTTGATCATCCCATTCTCCACTCTGGTTCAGTCAAGACTTTGAAAACATATTCCAGAGGATTGATTTTTAGGATATAATATGAGGGTACTTCAGAAAGTTCATGGAGAGATTTGTATTATCTTTCAATTCTATTTTTCCACAAACTTTTTGAAGTACTCTGGTATTCTCCTACCAGTATTTCTTCTTAATAGCCTTACTGTTTTTTTTTTTTTTTTAAAGTAAAAGTCATTGCTATTTCTAATTTTTTGTTGTTGTATTGGCTAAAACATCTGGATTTCATGAATATCTAGGCCTCGTAAAAGTTTTTTGGTTTTCGGGGTTTTTTTCCCAAATTTTATTCGGAGTGAAATTTTGCTATATTGAGATGGACATGCACTTAATTCCTGTATGGTGCCTTGTTAGGGGTGGGGGATGGTGCGCCTGCCCTTATTTTCTGTATAGGTAGCCAGTACCTTGTTTGGGGAGTGGGTAAGAGCAGTGTGCATGCCTTTGATTTCTGTATAGGTAGCTAGTACCTTGGGGAGGGCCAGTGTAATTCTCAGGCATCTTACAAGTGCAGAGCACTAGGTGGTTATTTAACAACAGATCTACAGGGAGACATTGGTAGCCTTTACTAATGCAGCAGTGACAGCAGTCTCTTTTCTGAATAGCTCATTACATGTTGGGACACAATAGCACTTTTGAGATAAAAGAAACTAGCATCCCAAACTGAAAGACTTAGCTGGCAGTATCAACACATGGGCTGTTGTTAGAAGAAAGTTAACTCAATACCCTAAGGGTGATTTAGAAGCCTGGAAATAATTTGCATCTGGGGTCTTGACCCTCCCCAAATGCCTTGTTATTTACATCTAGGTAAATCTTAAAACATACCAGAAATAAAAGCTAGTGAAGGTCAGAGGTGTGGAACCTTTTGAACATAGAGCATAATACATCAAAAAAAATAAAAAGAGATGGAAAGAAGTGCCCTTGGTAATGTTTCTTGAATTCTAAAGACCCAAACAAAATTTTGATTAGACCAGTAGACAGGGCTTGCAGAACCAGTCAGAGTCCAGGGTCTTCCCAGGGGACGTTTTACATAAAGATAGATGTACCCAGACACTACCCTCAAGTCCTGGCTTTAACCTACAGGCACCTCTGCCTGTCCTGCTCTGAATCTCTGGGGCAGTAGGCATTGGCTTCTGGGCCACAGAGCAAGTGTTCTATGGCCTTATGTGAGCAGAGCAAGTGTTCTGTGTCCTTATGTTAGCTACCTATTACCCATTAGTGTTATTTTACAAAGTTTTCCATTTTATACCTTGAGTTATTTCAAAAAGGATTGCGATGACTTGTCTAGTGGATGATTTTCATTACAGTGACTATTCTAGTCCTGGTAAGGTCTGTCCCTGAAGGCCGTTCTGGGGGAGTTGAATTGGGGGAGGGGGGGCAGTGGTGGAGAAACTCTCACTTTGATGTCAGAAGAGAGAAAGACTCCAGGGGTGAGACTCACCCATTTCCAAGGCTTCTCTGATGTTCCAGGAGGCCAGGAGGAGATGAGCCAGCACATAAGGAGCCAGGGGACTTGGATTTTAGTCCTGTCTCCCACGGGTAGCTGTGTGGCCTAAGCATAGTTCAGCACTCTGAGTCAAAGATCCCTCCCTTCTCTTCTTTTTCGCAAAGAACTAGATGAGTGGCTCCCACTGGATTTGCCAAGTGCTTTAGGGGGTGATAGAGGGTGGAAGGTTAGAAGGGGTTGCTTATTTATAGCGCAGATTCCTGCCCTCCCCCTCTGACCTCCTAAATTGGAATCTCTAGGGATAGGGCCTAGAAGTTTGTATTTTTAATACACATCTCCTAGTTGATTCTGACATCCAGCCAGTTGAGGGAACTGCTGACCTGGATGATGCCTAGGGTCTCTTACAGCTAAAAAATTGAGACACCATTTTGCACACTTGCAGCGGCTCCTCAGGCCAACCACTAGCAGATCTTCTCTCTGTGCAGCAGGCCTGCCTATGTGTCACACACTGACTCATAAGAACAGATCTTCATTCTCAATCATTGCTTGGGCACCCTGTATAAGGCCCTGTTGGCTGGTATCCCTGTAGGACATAACCCTTCATATCATAAAAAATGCTCCTGGCGGAGAAGCTTAAGTGATGTTTATTCTGCTGAACACAGTGTCAAGAGCTAAGAGAAAGGATGGTCAGCAGTTGGGGGAGCAATAAGGAGGTAGATACAGATTAATTGGTGGGGACCTTGTGTGCAGGTAGGGAGAGCTTGTGAGCAGAAGCTGGAATGAACATAAGGTGGTAGTTCCTTCCTCTCTAGTGCTTCAGCTGTGTGGGGAGCTGGGGACATAGACCTGACTGTCACCTAGAAGGCTCTTTCCCCAGAGCATAAACAATCTTTCTGTAAGTACAGAGTCCTCTAGGTTTGGGCCCAGATCTAAAGTAGAGCAGAGAACTTAGAACTTGGTGGCTACAAAAATTTTTTTTTTAAATCTTATTTACATTTCTGATAGGTCACAGCTCTGGTAGCAAGGTATTTGCATTCATATTAAAAATAATAATAATAGAAAAAAGGGGGAGAAGAAAAGAAAAATACTTTTGTGTACATGATCTAGACACTCCAGAGTTTTTTGGGTTTTCTTGTTTGTGGCTGGCTGGTATAGGGATCTGAACCCTTGATCTCAGTGTTATATCACAGAATTTTTTGTTGTTGTCGTGGGGATTTTGTGTGATTGGTTGTGTGTGTGTTTTTCTCTTTGTTTTTGTTTCCATTTTCTGAGTTGCTTGCTTGTTTTCTCCCCTGTTCATAAAAGAAATAGAATTTTATTGGAAATGAAAAATACAGAAAAGTGAAAAAATACAGAAAAGTGACCTGAAACAAAATTATACCTTCATGTACATTCTTCCAATTTTTAAAAAAATAGGGCTAATGATTTTTAAAAGATAGTTCCCTGTACTTAAGAAATTTGTTAGGATAACCCTCATCCTTCCTTAAAAGAACAAAAACAAAAAGCCGGTTGTCTGCCAGTCACTCCTAGCTGGGCCCAGTTACTAGCTGTGCACTGATAATGATTTACTTTGTAGCCGGTATAGTTGCAAACTCCTCCCATTCATTTCACATTTGCCCTACTCCCTGCCTCCCTCGACCAATTGCTACATTGTAATTTTTTCTCCCAGTAAAAATCTATTTAAGTGTTTATAGAGCCCTTTACCATGGTTGGAAATACCCTACTCACCTCTCTTTCCCAGACAAAACTTGGCATTTAAAATCTTCCAGATCAGCAAAGAGTTGAATGTTACCATATTCCTTTGATTCAAGGCAGTGAAGGCAGCCTCTAACTACGTGAACATTTCAAACTCTGTGTTCCATGGGTCCGAGAGCTAAGACAGTTGCTTTTGTTTAAATTAGGTTGGTTTCACTCATTTTATTCAGTAGACATTTATTGAGCCCATACTCTGCGCAGAGAACTGTGATTTCTTGGACGTAAGCAGTTTATAGTACAATGAAGAAGACAGGAATATATACAGACAACTAGCATGTATTCCCAAGTATGTATTATAATTTTTAGAAAACTCACAAATGTCCTGAAAACCCCTCCACTGCTTGATGAGTATATATCAAATGGATGAGGAAATTGTACCTGATTAGGAAAGCCCATCTTCCACTTCCATGCACAGTATTTAAACAGCCCTCGCTGCATATGTGTACAGTGGACCATCACAGTCTTGCAAGTGTTCTGAAGCTGGTAGGAACAAATGCCTACATGACAGGAGGTAATCATTACATCTGCCAAAAAAAAAAAAAAAAAAAAATTACTTCAGAGATACATACCAAGTAAAAACAGTATCTGTGTTGCTTTTCCCCTTAGCAATTTTATGCTTTTCTTGAAGCAACCTTGACTCTTAAGAAATTCTAGTAGGCTTATGTTAAAACCATTTGGGAAATTTGTCTTGGCTCTGTTCCAGTGCAGCCAGTTGTTCTAAGGGGGATTACTGAAAGGCGGTGGGGGGGAATTACTGGATTGTGTTGGGTCTCCAAATGGTGTGTATTTTAGAACCACTGAATTTTAAAATATTTTAGTTCCTTCATAAGGCTCCTCGAGAAAGTGGCTAGAGGAAGGGAGCGTTGAGTGAAACTCCTGAGTCTGATTTGTAACTGTACTGCTGTTGTCTTACGTGGCTGAGCCTGGGTAAGCCTTGTCTCTGTTCACACCTCAGGCCCCCAGTGAGTGAGGTGACTGTGATAAAACTCTCCTTTAACAGGCAAATAAAGCCAGGGCATTGAAATCTATGGAAGAAAGGAACCATGTGACAGAGTATTTCCTAATGGTCTACTTGTCCGATGAGGATTGTGCGTATAGGTCCACAAGTATGGACATTCACTGCATAAGTGAGTATATAACCGGATGTGAGAACTCCAGAGTTGACTAGGGCTCGTAGTGCCCTTAAAGGCAGCTCACCACAAGGCCCAGGCTTCAGTTCCAGCCACTTCCTGAAGGTGCTACCCTCCCTTTCTCGCCCACTCTGAAGTCTTTCACTCTCTGTCTAGGCTGAAGCCGATGTAGCTTCTCTGAATAGACGCATCCAGCTGGTTGAGGAAGAGTTGGATCGTGCCCAGGAGCGTCTGGCAACAGCTTTGCAAAAGCTGGAGGAGGCCGAGAAGGCAGCAGATGAGAGTGAGAGGTGAGAACGCCTCATCCAGCCACTTCTCACCACAAGCCCTTCCTCCTGGGGGAATGAACGGAGGGCTTCTCCGATCTTTGAGGTTTAAGAATTCAACAGTCCCTTCGTGAGATCACTTCCTCAGTTGATGCCAGATATAACTTGGTTGGTTTCATTCATTTAGCATTATTGGAAGACTAGAGTGCAAAGGACTGTTCTAAGCACCGGGGTTGCAAAGAAGAAAAAGATTTTGTTCATACGTTCTCAGAGTTCACCGTCCAACGAGGGAGACAGATGTGTAAATGAGCAATTCCAGGGATACATGTTGGTTCTTTCATTCCTACTGACCACAGACCAATTGCGCATTTAAATATATATATACAACTTTATTTTAAAATATACCAAGGAGGCTTAGGCTTAGATAAAGGAACTGTGGGTTATCAGTTGTCATATAGTCTAATAGATAGGTGGAAGAAAAAGCACAGATGAAACAAATATGATTTGCAGAATGTAAATTGTTTTGTACTTGGACTCAATATACAGATAAGAAACATGCATATACATAAATACAGTCAGATGTTTATGTGTTCTGAGCTCACCTCCCCTTTAACCTGGCTCTACCTGACTTATTAGTCCAAGATTCAGCTTTGTTGCGGTAGAAGAAAAACATGGTTCATGTAGTCCTGCACAACCTCATTTATTCTGGAAGGCATTTTCTCTTATGCCCAACTGTTCAAGTTAATATGCTTGCCATGTTGCATAGAAGCACTCCAAGAAAGACTCCATGAGATGAGAGAGTATTCTGCTGCTTGAGGGATGGCATAGTACTGTGGGGCTTGGAACTCTGAAAGTGTATCTGTCTGTGCTGTGCAGGTGAATGCAGTCAGTCTTTTTGTCCATTTCTCCATTTTTGAAGTGAGCCTCTGCTTCCTGCCACCATGTATAAGGAGTGATTTCAGACTTTAGGATTAAAGAAGCTTTTTAGCTAAAGTTTTCAGCTCATATTCACTGCTGCTTAGTGTTTCTTTGCTAACCAAGAGTTCTGGAATTCTTTAAGATGACTTCTCTTACAATGTACATGTAACAGTGGTTTTGTCACTGACTTCTTCCTGAAATGTACTTATTAGTGAACCTTAAAGGTAGTCTGGTAATGTTAGACTTTGGAGTAAAAGGAACTTAGAGATCTTTTACTCCAATCCATTTACAAATGAGAAAACTAGGACTCAGAGACTGATGGGGCCTGCCCAAAGGTTCACAGCGTATTCGTGGCCGAGCCAGAACTAGAACTCAGGTCTCCTCAAATATATTCTAGTGCTTCATCAAAAAATAGTGGTTTACTTAACTGACTGCCTACTAAACATTGGTAAGTGAAACCCATTTTAACATGACTTGTTATTCCTTAAATCTGTAAAATATCATAGGTCAGTTAACATTTTCTGAAATGTAACTAATAATCGGGCCATAGGCCCCTAATATACATATCAGCATAGAAGATGGTATCAGTCTTGTCTCCCAATCATGAAAGGGGTTCATTATAGGCAAAACTTTTAAGTTTTTTTATCTAAAGTATTTGGTTGAACCGTATGAAATTGCCATTTTTATAGGTCTGAAATGGTCAAATATCAGTAGTTTCATGTGGGCCTGTCTAATATTTTTATTTGCAGTTGTTGGAGTAAGAACCTTCTTTGTAGAAAAAGATACATGAAGATAAATTTGCTTTTGTTCTAGCTTTGGTCCATTTTAAAGCTGAGGCTTCCCATAGAAAAAGGAAGAAATCCCATTATGTATTTAACAAGTAAAGCATGTTGGCTTTTCCTGTTTCCATGCCTCCAAGATTCAAACAGGATCCTGACATGGTACCTTTCATTTAACATTAGATGCCTGGACAGTTTCAACCAGTACCCAAAGTATGAGATTTCATTCACAGTGAACAGAGAGCAATGTGTGTCTTTTTTTCTGTCATTAGCTCTGGAAAGTCTTGCTTCATGGGTTGGAAAAATAAAAGTAGCTCTGTGCTCTATTTCGGTCTGCCATTTACACTAAGCCTTGCAGACCACAGCAGTGCAGTGTAGTTTGGGAGGTCACCTCTAAATCTCGGGTTTTCCTGCTTGTCTTTCTTTTCAGAGGCATGAAAGTCATTGAAAGTCGAGCCCAAAAGGATGAAGAAAAAATGGAAATTCAGGAGATCCAACTGAAAGAGGCCAAGCACATTGCTGAAGATGCCGACCGCAAGTATGAAGAGGTCAGATCCTGGGGCCCAAAGCCTTAGGGACTCCCAGCAGTGGCCTTCAGGGAGCGAGGAAGCAGTATGCAGCCTTGATTCCTAAGTGAAGCCGTCTGCTTCCTTGGCAGGGATGCGTGATTTTGAGAGTAAAGTTCTTATGTCTCCAGAAAACAGTTCTTGTTTTGATCCTGCTAGGAGGTCCCAGGCTTTATCATGAAGCCAAGCAATAGCACTGGGAAGAAGGAACAAACACCACCACCTCCTTCCCCACCAGCCAAAGACCAGGACAAAACATCTTTGGCCAAGAGAAGGGAGAGTTGAGTTAGGCCTCTTGTGTGTTGCAAAAGGAGGATCTCGGGCTGTCATGCTATAAGCAGTTCCTCCTGGTGTGATTCACCTAGCATGTCCAGTTCAGGCTGCTTACAGACCACAGGCTATGCAGTTGCTCAGTAGATTCATGCAGGCCTTTCTCCACAAGGGTGGTAGAAACCAGTTATCAACACAGGTTTACAAGTGAGTCAGCTCCTGGTTATGTCCCCATGAAAACAGCCTTCTGTGATAACAGAGTCAACGTGACTATTAAGGTTCTAGGTTTTTTTTCTTATTGAATCCCATCATGACCATCCTAAAATGGCATTGACCCTTTATTATCATCATCATCATCATCATCATCATCATCATCCTCTCCATCTCCATCTCACACTGTGTCTGCTAATTTGGAACTGCTCTCAAAAAAATCCCTTCTCTCAACTTCTTTCTTCCATTGAATACAGATTTGACTTTGTTAGTCATCTCACCAATTTAGCTCACATGTTAGCTTCTCTTGCATTCTTAACTTTCTCCACAAAAAGGAGGTTGATATATAGAGCTCTAAATTGATGGAGTTATTAGGTTTATTTTCAGTGCTTTCTTGACAGCCCCCCACCCCTTTTCAGTGTAAATACATCATGTCTCATCCTACTGCTATTTCGAGATTGTGAATTTCTCCCTCCTTCTCCACACTTTGGTCTGGCTGCTATGTAATTATACAGACTTCGCCTGCCTCAGACTTCAAATTGAGACTGCCTGGTCATAACTAACCATTCTGGGTCTTTGTGAGCAGAAGCCTCTGGTCTCCTCTCTATTGGTATTCCTGATGGAGTTGCTTCTCTCCAGTCTACTGGAAAGAGGATCATACTGTTTTTAGACAAGAACCCTTAGGTGTTGATGGAATCCAATCCCCACACCCCTACACAAAGCTTACATGCCCCACGGTATGTGTGTACTATGTTCGTCCTGTTGCAGGTGGCCCGTAAGCTGGTCATCATTGAGAGTGACCTGGAACGTGCAGAGGAGCGGGCTGAACTCTCAGAAGGGTAAGCGGGCCCAGTGCCAGGAGGCCACGTGTGGGGTGCTACAGAGCAGTGACTTAACAGCATGACCTTCTGGCAGCTACACATTTACCTGTTTCAGCTCCGGGCTCCTTTTATGCTCATTTCATGTGAATGAGCCACGTGTATGGAACACAGAGGACTCGTGGGGTGTCTATGTATGAATGCGTATATCACTGCATGCCTTACCTGCACACTGATTTTGTGAATGGCCTTGTGCATTTCCTGTGTCCACTAACAGCCAAGTTCGACAGCTGGAAGAACAATTAAGAATAATGGATCAGACCTTGAAAGCATTAATGGCTGCAGAGGATAAGGTACTGATGGCTCATGTGTGGTTTTTAGGTTTAACTGCAACCCAGACGTTTTTCAGCTTCCAGTGCCTACTCGTTAGTTTGGTATAGCGACTGCACCTTCACTACACCCTCTGCTATTTATATCTTGCTTTAAGTGCTTTCTCTTGGTCCTTTATGCTCCTTTGTTTTTTCCTTCATAAATGCTCTTTAGGGCAGCCAAAAAAGAAGCCAAATTATCACTCTTCAACACTGTTGGATTTTGTCACCCTGCCTTTCTGCTGTTGCAAGGTTGGGGGGGCAGTGTCTTTGGCAAAATTGCACATTTTTAGTACCTGATGATTTGGCTACTTTAAGGCAGTCCTTCATCTCTAGTGCTCAGTTTTCATTTTTTCCCACCCCTCTCCTTTTTCTCTTCTCCTTCCTCTGGCTTGTCTCCCACCCTTTCTGCCTCTGATCGAAAACATTAGCAAATGTGCCGAGCTTGAAGAAGAATTGAAAACTGTGACGAACAACTTGAAGTCATTGGAGGCTCAGGCTGAGAAGGTAGGCCAGGAGCATGGTGTCGGGGGAAAAGCATTTTAAGAGCTGCTCAAAAGAGGCCCACTTTTTCTCTTCCAAGGCCCTGCTGATGAAAGCAACAGTACAGTAGGCATTTTAGTAAATAGCAACATTTCAAGGTTATTTTCTGATGTTATTGGATGACAGATTTTTTTTTTTAAATACAGAATGTATTTTATGTTGGGTATGTGAGTCATCAATTTAATTTAAACCAAGTGCCAAATAGATAAGTTATCTTGTTCTTATCCCATGTAAAACAATAGGTAAGAGAGCAGAGAATGTATTATAGTATGCCATTTGATATCAGAGGTTCTGTTACCCTCCTAGAAGATCTTTAACATCTGTTGGCTGGGCTGGTGCATTCTTTGTAGTAGAAGGCATGCGTATGGTGAGCTGCAGCCTGACATCTGGAATGCTCTTTCTAATTACAGTACTCGCAGAAGGAAGACAAATATGAGGAGGAGATCAAGGTCCTTTCTGACAAGCTGAAGGAGGTAATATTATGAGAGTTTTGGGTAAAGCCAACTGGATATTAAATGGATTTGTTTTCATGGAGCTGGTCAGGGCTTTTTCATTTTAAAGTTACGATGATCTAACTCAGGAATATTTAGAGGTAGTCTTGGAGTTAATGTGCTGTGCTGGCTGCTATCTCACAGTAGTGACTGAAACTGACAAGTAGTTTCAGACCCATTTTAAGGGTGATATGCTTGATTTTCGTGCTCTAGTTTTCCCTATATTTGTAGCTACTGGAAATGTAAAACTTCCCAACTTTGACTTAAGTAAAATCATTTACAGGCTGAGACTCGAGCTGAGTTTGCAGAGAGGTCAGTAACTAAATTGGAGAAAAGCATTGATGACTTAGAAGGTAAGATTTCAAGTGTTGTTTTTAATTTAGTCCTACAGTTGAATACTAACCTGGCAAAATGATCTTCCAACCCAAGTGGATCCACCTTGATATACTTCTTTGCTCTTGCACATTCTTCCTATCTGTCCTCTGGGGTTTTCATCTGTGGCTCTTAAACTCTTAGACCTGAGTCTTCTCACAAGGTGACTGGTTAGCGACCAGACAGGGCACTCTTTTTGTAATGGAAAATGCCATCCAGCTTTACTTCATGCTCATCAGAAGTTTTATTTTTTCATTGTGAGTGAGGTCCTTATAAGTGGGAATGACTCTAGAGTATTTTGTATCTTTAGTAATGCCTCATTGTGAGAATGACATGGATTTGTTTTTAAACACAATCCATCTTCTTCCAAGTATAAATTTAATGTAAGGGTTTGGAGTTTAAGTCATTTGACTTTTTAGCAAAATTTTCTATATCCTGAAAGAGGGAGGAAATCAATAGGGCATTGTATTTTGAGATTATACGTAAGCATTTCTCCCCTGAGACATTTAGGTTTTATTTTAGTTACACCCACTCTTATCTCACAGAAATCCTGAATGTTGAGCTTCTGAGGCTTGTGAAAGGTTAGCTGTGGAAAAAAGAAGGAAGAAAAAAGCCATATACATCACAGGCAGAAGGGATTAGAGAAGGGACTAGAAATTGGTGCATATAATAACCAAGATAGTGGAGAAGAGAGAATGACAAATGGTTTCAGGACAATCTGCCAAAGTACAGCAAAACAGGAAGCCTTTGTCTTTACAAAAACTAAATGGCAAGCTTTCCACACCACCACCATAAAAAGTGTGGCTCTCACTTCTCAAACCTTCTGGACCCCTAACAGGCAGCTTAAGTGGGAAGACCACAGGCATAGTTTAAATGACACTAAGAAATCGATATCCCAGTGGTCTACTTTGGTCAGGAAGTCAGTGGTTTGAAGGTGCAACCAGATGAGGATTACAGGCTATAGTCCCAAATTGTTCTTCCAAAACACTGCCCGTGGATATTTTTTTCCATTGTTTATAGCCACAGGTGGCTGACTACTCTGGTATAATGAAAATATAGTTCTGTAAAAGAAAGGTGTTCCATGACGCACCCAGCAGACAGCCTTCTGGGGTTTTGTTTATGATTTAACATGCTTTACTGATATACCTACCATATTTGTTATGATTTTCATATTGAGTCTTTCTCGTTTTACTTTCTAATGGGTTTTGTTCTCTTTGTTTTTGTTTCAATTTATTTAAAAACAAAACGCACGCCTCCTGCATTGGCACCTGCTGCGGCACCCCCCTCCATGCATTGCCCTTTTCTTGCTGCTGTGTCGGGATGGCACCCGCCACCCCCACTCACCCTTCATCTCTTGATCACTCTCCATGTCCTTGCATCTCTGCCTCCCACTTCCTGGTCATAGACGAGCTGTACGCTCAGAAACTGAAGTACAAAGCCATCAGCGAGGAGCTGGACCACGCTCTCAACGATATGACTTCCATGTAAATGTTCATCCACCCCGCCTGCTTGCACCCGTGCCCTCATGCTAGTGTGATCACCTCACTACCGCTCCCTTCTCTGCACCATGGGCTCGTCTTTGCACCCTCTATTTGCTCTCCTTTACATAACCTAGGATAGTCGTTGTTCTTTCACTTTCTACTAATATTAAGGCCAAGTGGACTAAGTCTGTCTATACAAATCATTTTCCTTTCAGAATCCTTTGATTTCATAAACACTGAACTAGATTGTTCCCACCATGCAATGAACTAAAATATAAATGACCTTGAGCACTATACTTTTAAAAAATTAAACTAGACTGAACTAAAGCTAGAAGGCCATGTACTTGTGCAGAAACTTCTCAAGAAATATCAAAAATTGATTTCCTGAGATTCAGTAAAGTACAATATGACCATTTTCATACAAGAAATATAAATTTAAGGAAACTCTAAAGTGTCAGGTTATTAAAGATCTGAGGAAAAGGAAATTGTCATGATTTAATACAGCCTAAAGAAAGGTGCTATAAAAGATCATCTCTTCCTCACTTTTTTAAGAATTCTAGAGTAAATTAAACCTCCTGCTGGGAAACAAAGCCTTTAGTTTTCTATATTTATATGAAAATACCCACAGTAAACATTTACCACAACCGTGTCAAAGAAATGAGAAATAAAACACAAAGTAAGTTTGGGAGTTAGTGGCCCATATTTTACTGTGAGGCAGTAAGAGTTGGAGTAGGTAGTTTTGTTCTCATGAGAAGAACTTAGAGCATACACAAATAATTTACATATTGCTAACCATGCTTAAACATTAAGCTTACTCTGCCTCTTTAAATTCTAACCTGGAATGTTTCACCGAGGGTTCTTCATTCCAATACCACACTGGACTCCACTAAAGCTAGAAATCTCATTTCCAGGCCCCACCTGTCATTCCTTTACCTGTGCAAAATAATGGTAGTTTGAAGAGTGTGGCATGTGCCTGCTGCCTTGGACGTTACAGAACCTCCACGCTTAAAAAACAAAACAAAACAAAAGACCCTTAGAGATGTGACTGCCAGCATGGAAACTAGAGATAATTCCATTTTCTCTTTCCTCATTTGCAAATGAGGAGGTGGATCAGATCATCTATCTCTAAGGTCTTATCCAGTGCTAAAATGTGGTGATTCTATGGGAAAAACTTCTAGCATCAAGTATGATTAAGTATTCTGAAATGTGGGTTTAGCTTAAGATTTGTTTTTGAATTCTGCTCCTTGGTCTTAAAATGGACCCTTATCCAAATGGGGCCTGTGACAGCCGTGGGTACAGACACTGATGGGCAAGGATAAACATCCTCCCAAGGATGCAGCTGGCAGTGGGTTTTGCATGTCTGCCGCATGTCTGTGTTTCAGAGTGCTGCTCTCATCTATCTGGTTTTCTGTTTTCCATTGTGCCACTGTTTTTTCTTTTTCTCCCATCTTTTATCTTCACGCAGATAAATTTCTTTGCTTCACCTCTCCCAAGACTCCTTCATCGAGTTGGATGTCCCATCTCTCTGATATCTGCATTTGTCTGTTCTCCAGCTGACCCTGGTTCTTTCTCTTGGCATCCTGCCTGAGGGCCAGGCACACACTGTGCTTACTATTGTACAGAAGCTCTTCGTTTCAGTGTAAAATAAACACTGTGTAAGCTATTTCTGTTTGCTATTCTTTTTACTTCTTATTTATTGACATTTTAGTTTCAACACTAAATAAAACTACAAATCTGCTTCACACATATGAGGGTTAATTTTTGGCTGCTGCTTTTTTTTTTTTTTTTTGGTTTTGTTTTTTGTCTTCTGGGTTGTTTTTTTCTTTTTTTTTTTTTTTTTCGCTTTTTTTCATTCTGAACATTATACATGAATATCAAGAGTTTCAAAAGCAGTAGTCTCTTGTGGAACTTTAAAAAAATACCCATGCCTGCGTCCCTCTCAGAGTTTTGGTTTCCAAAGGTTAAAGTAAGGCCCAGCATCTGTGCATTTTAGGAATTGTGATGGTTCTGACACGCAGTCTGGGCTGAGGACCTCTGCACAGGAGACATTGCTCTTTGGGAGTCAGAATATCTGGCTTGAGCATTGTCTTCCTCTGCCAGAGGTCGGGTTTGGGATGTGGTGGCCTCTCTGTGTTGATATCTGAATGGCCCTGCTGGGGAGGACATGGCTAACTAATTAAAGGCTTGTGGTGAATGGCTCTATAGCCATCCCACATCGCTAGAATTTACATATTGGGAAAGGTGAAAGAGAACTTGGATTCAAACAACGTAAGTCGTGGTTATTGTTGATCATTCTTTTACAGCACAAAGAAGAGTTCAAGGTCTTTAAGTATATTTATTACTCAGTTAACTTCATTTTGATCATGAAAATGACATTAGGTTTTCTAAATATGATTACTATGTTCAAGTTGTAACTTTTGTGCTTTTAAGGATATTTTATACTCTTTAGAAGGGATTGTACATATATATAATCTTTGTGTTTGATAGCTTTTTTTTTCCATTTGTGGACATTTTTAAAATATAGCCATTAAAGTTGATTCTTTTTTTTTTTTTAATCCAAAAGAAGTAGTTAGTGGAAATTGTTCAGAATATAGTTGTATTTTATTTGGGCTTCAATAGTTCATTCCTTAAATAGCAATTAAGTGATTTTTTAAAAATACATAGTAAAATTAGAACTTTAAAATGATGTGGACTTTAGTTTAATTCCCAATATTTCTCCTTCCTCAACCATCTGGCTATATTTCTCCTGTATTTTAAATATGGGTGATTTTCATCTGTTTTGTGTAGTTTTTGTTAGCCCAAGAGGGCTAATATATCATTATACTCAAATTAATTTGGACCAACTCTAAAAATAGAGTCAGTCACTCTACAAAGCAGAGAGAAAACTCTATTTTTAAAAAGCGCTGTGAATTAAAGTATTTTAGTAATGGTATGGTAGTTTCTTCTTTTTTAATTTAGAATCGGGACAATGTCTTTCCCTTGATAGTACAAAGACTCCTGTAATTTCATGTTTTTCTGTTCCTGAGGCTCCTTGGTCCTGCTTTTGTCCATGATTCCTGTCTTGTTCTTTTTTAAATTCAGAGTAATAGAAGTGTATCCTTCTCTGAGTAATTCTGCTTCCTGCCATAGTCAAACTGACGAGTCTAAAAGTTCCACTGAGCAGATGTTCAGTTAATTCTGGTGGCACATTTTTTTAGAAATCTTTCCAGAGACTTTCACTTTCTATAAATCCACCCCACATGAGGAAATGGGAAACTGTGCATTGGGAAGGCAGGTCTGGAGTAGCCCAAGAAGGTTTGTACACACAACAGGATAAATAGCAAGTTGAGTTTGTCAAGAAGTTGTTGGAACCCAGGCTGCTAGTTTGGAGGGCCAGGCCATAGCTGCAGCTGCTGCAAGAGCCTCAGTTGGACCAAACCAAAAGCATTGCTCAGTCTGGGCACTAGAGGCCTCAGGCCTCTGGGAGTCTCTGTAGAACAGGAGGGGAGAACACTTCTGAGTGTATAAACATATCTGGTTCCTGTCCTTGGGCCACCCAGGCATACTAGCTTCATGGCAGCTAAAGCAGAGCAAGTCCAGAGGAGGCTGTGGTAGGAACCACTGTCATTTAAGATGAATTCACATTAACCATCTGGATTCTCTAGGTTTTCTCCAAAGTTCTCCCATCCCACCTTGGCCAGACATTTGGGCTGAACAGACTGAGACATCATGCCTGCCCCTGGCAACATTTCTCCATGATAATAGTGTGAAAATAGTAATGAGATTTACATTTTGCAACCCTCAAGCATAGGCCACATGCAAGACACTGGGGAGGTGTGGTAAAAAGATGAGACAGAAATGCTCTTTGCCCTCGATGAGCTGATCATCTTGTGGGAAGATAGATGAATAAAGCAAGTCTGAACAAATAGACATTGTGCATTTAAAGCCAACAAAGAAGAATAATTCTGACTGGGAGCTACCTGGAGGAGGTGACATTTGACTGGGTTTTGAATGTTCAGGAAATTTCGATGAACAAAGTTGACAAGGCAGCAGATATTCCAAGCAGAGAACATAAGCATAGCATCTTCCCCATGTCCTACCATTTACAAGAGGAAGTTAAGGTGAGAATTGCTCAGTTTCCCAACAGACCTGAGGGATGCAGATGGCACATTTCCCCAGGGGTAGGATTGTTAGCTTTTCAGGATCATTAAGTAGAATTTCTAGGTCCAGGTTGTCACCATCATTCAAAGCAATCATGCATCCTCCTGGTGGGTACCAGGCTCTTGCTGGTCTTTGGGGTGTCCCCTGGATCATCAGATACACACTGACTGTTGTGGTTTGCTTCCTTGTCATGTGAGCAGGTTGCATGTCAGTGTGTAAAACTTATATCACACTAGCCTTCATGTAGATGTTCAAGGTTTTGCTCATTTCATACACATCCATTAGCACCAAACATGAATGCCATCCTCTTCAAGACGTAAGCAGATCACTTCTAACTCAGAGTTGAGAGAAATGCTTGCTCTTTTGCTGTTTGAGTAGGGTAACACACGCTCTATTAAAGGTGGACAAGAGTTCAGAATTTGTTCCCTGTATAATGGTGATTGGGGGAAGGACAGGGAGGTTAGTTGTGCTTTTAAAAAAATGTTAATGTAGCAGAAGCAGTAGCCCCCACATGGTGTGACTTGAGGGGAAAGCTGCCCTTTGAGCAGAGAGGAAAGGATTCAGGAAGAGGTGAGAAGAAATGGACAGGTGGAGGTCGCACCTAAGATCTCCACCAAGCCCTAGCAAGGGGTGGATGATGTGCTGGGCTCACCTGCAGCCAGGCCTCAGTTTCTGAATCTGTTGCCAGAAACTGCGTATGGCTCAGTTCACAAGGTGGTTTTAGTGAGGTACAAGGGGAACAGTCACCCTCTCACCTCTTACCCTGTTGCTCCCTTTTCCTCCCATTTGCACCAAGAGAAATTCTGGCCCTTCCTAAGTCTGCTAGACCTTTTACCGACCACTTGTCCTGCACAGGACAGATGACCATGGGGTAAAGGTAAACTTTTCAGCAAGTGACCAGTTGCTGTCCTGCCTGAGGTATCTGTGTTCACAGTCTATTAACTGCCTCCCACCAAGTCTGACTAACTTTTCTTCCTTCTGCCTCTTCTTTTCTGCTAACCCGCTTGCTGACCTGTATAGATCAACTCTACCAGCAACTTGAGCAAAACCGCCGTCTAACTAATGAACTAAAGCTTGCCCTGAATGAGGATTAAATTTAAGTGTGAAAAAACTTGGGCTGAATTTTAGGAATGGGGCCCATGTGCAGGAAATCTAAGACTGTCCTGCCTTCAACCACTAAGGTTGAAAACACTTGCTTTCGACAGAAATGCAAATGAAAGGAATGGGCTGAAAGGCTGGCCTTGCCTGTATTTTCCTACATATATCTGGAATAATTAAGTTCTCTTTAATCCCAAAACAGCTTTTGTGGTCAAATACATACATCATGTATATGGACAATATCACAATCAATTTAGCACTCCTCATTGCAGTAGTAGATTCTCTTGTTTTGAACTGATACAAAATGAGGATCATTAAAAAAAAGTTTTCTGTTTCCCACAGACAACCGAGTCCTGCTTTAAGTGTGTGTGTATATTCTATTACATATTCATATTCCTAACTTCTTAATATGTGGTATAGTGTTTGAAATATGACTAAATGTACCTATGCTAGGGCAAAACACTTTTGAAAACAGCAGCTCATATCAAGTTCTGAACGGTATGCTTTATTCAGTCTAACAGTTGTTGGAATCTGGTGAGAATGTCATGCTAATAATAAATAGAGCACTATGAAAATATTGAGACTGTCCTAAGTGTGCATGAAACGTGATAATTTTTTTATGAGTAACAGAAATAAATCATTTAAAAAGTTGTCAGAAAACCTATTTATGTCCTCTTTGTTTTCTGTGAGATTGTGTTACAGCATGACACCCAGACCTTTAACTTCCTGTAACTCAGAAATGTCTGCTGTTCTTCATTTCTTCAGTTTGTTTAACAGAGCAGCAAGGTGTATTTGATTTTTACCTCTCCCTGTTCCCATGGCATACAGTCAGTGAACTGTCACCACACCCCACCTGCATTTTATTCTGAGTGGATTGTTGGTGGAAGGTGCACTTGACTGCTCTGTGAGGATCTGCTGTGCCTGTGGTTCCTTGGGTCAAGGATGTCTTCCCCCTTCCTAGGTCCTTGTGTGGAAATGAGTTATGTCTCACAAGCATGCCGAGGCCTAATCATCTCATCCTGTGTTTGTGATTGATGTTTGCCTGCCTAAATGTATAAACCATCATTGTGTCCAAAGCGCAGCTATTCATGACTTAATTTTCTAATCCCACCACAGAGAAAGTGGCTCATGCCAAAGAAGAAAACCTTAGTATGCATCAGATGCTGGATCAGACTTTACTGGAGTTAAACAACATGTGAAAACCTCCTTAGCTACGACCACATTCTTTCATTTTGTTTTTGTTGTTTTGTTTTGTTTTTAAACACCTGCTTACCATGAAACCTCTTAAATGCATTTTTATTTACTTTTACCACTGTCACAGAAACATCTGCAAAATACCAGCTAGGTCAGGGGATGGGGAAAACACACACAAAATGGCAAGCCGAGGTTAGGGCAGTAATGATTTAAATGTGCCATTTCCCAGGTTGATGTTGCCACACTTTGTAGAGAGTTTAGCAACACAGTATGCTTAGGCAGTGTAGGAATTCTCACTAAAGCAGAAAGATTTCCACTCAAAGTGCCAACGATAGAGTCAATAAGAAGATTAATGTTGGAACCACAATCAGGTGTGGATTGGTGCTACTTTAAACAAAAGGTCCCCCTGTGGTCTTTTGTTCAATATCGTACAATTTAGAATTCCGTCCAACACTAATTTATTTTGTCTTGAGTTTTACTATGAGATGAGACTATGGATTCCATATGCCTGAATTCACTAAAGCCAAGGGTTTGTAAGCCACGCTGCTCTTTTATGACTTCCATTCCTTTCTAATTGGCACACTTGCGGCTCTTTACAACTCTAGGATAGCATTCAATGTGGATTTCCACTCTTTTCAATTGTCCATGTTAAAGTGAAAGATTTAGGCACTACGTACAATTGGTAAAGAAAATTTTTTTAAGAGTTATAATAACTATATGTAAACATTGTAAAATGATATGGAATAAAATGCCCATTGTAGGACATTTTCTAAATTTGCTGGTCTTGTCATTTGTATGTTTTCACTTTATGAGCTTGAGATCACGTGATTGACCTACCTTCCCTCACAAATGGTTTCTTAAGACAATATCCCAAGTCCAGGGGAAAACTGGGTCTCAGGTGTTACACTCTCAGAAACACTAAAGGCAGCATCATTTTGGTCTACTAAAGTTACAACCAAGTAGGAAAGGCCCTTTCCAAAAGTTATTTTCCATTTTATTTATTTATATATATATCTGCACATATATATAGGCCTTTTGCAAAGGTTTTACTGGTTTGGGGATTTTTCCTCAAATGTTGGCTAAGTCTTTAGCAGTGGCATATCCACACAGCAACAAATGTTGAGTTAATGGACCAAATCTGTTGTCCCCCAGGAATGTAATATTTTACTTAAAACTACTGGGCCGAGCCCGTGGCACACTCGGGAGAGTGCAGCGCTGGGAGCGCAGGAGCACTCCCACCCCGGGTTCGGATCCTATATAGGGATGGCCGCTGTGCTCACTGGCTGAGCGCGGTGCGGCCCATCTCAAAAAACAAAAAAACAAACAAACAAAACAAAAAACTACTGCTTTAATGGGTCTTTGTGATTTTCTGCTTTCTTTTTTTTTTTTTTTTTGTCTTTTTGTCTTTTTCCGTGTCCGGCAACGGATCGCAACCCTCAGTGTTGCCCCCGTACCGGACCGGGGACCGGCAACGGGATCGCAACCCTCGGTGCTGCTCCCGCGCCTCGCTCAGCCAGTGAGCGGGAACCGGTCTGTATGTGGGATCCGAACCCTCGGGCGGGAGCGCCGCTGTGCTTCCCAAGCAGCACACTAAGCAGTGCGCCACCGGGCCGGCCCCTGATTTTCTGCTTTCTAACTCATGTGAATTCTAAATTCCAGTACATCTTTGTTTTCTCAGACTTGGAAACTGAAAATATCATTGGTCATTTCCCTAGCTCTTGAAGGCTTTACGCAAACAAAAAATAGATTATAAACAAAATTAGTTGGCTTAAGTTGTGCTGCAGGGAGAAAAAAAGGATGTTCTCACCAAAAGCAAACACAGTAGAATGGGAATAAACGGAAACTCATTTGGATATAGGTATAATATTTTCATTCAAAAGTATGAAATATCTCTCTAACTTTTCTTCCATGCCCCTTAACCAGGCCTCTCCACAGAAAGACAAAGACTGTAAGACAAAGAGCCCAAATAGGAGCCTGGAAGCCTGGCTTCTAGATCACAGTTTTAAAAAGCTGTCCCCTTGCTCAAGGCAGATAAATGACCTGGGTCTCAACCTTCCTACAGTTTCACTACCCCTAGGTTCACCCCTGTCAGGCCTCAGCTAGAAAAAAAAAAAATGCCTCTGCTTCACTCTACTCATGGAAGCCTTGCCTTGTGCTCTCGCACTTCGGGAGACAGATCTGGCTTCAGATCAGAGCTCCACCTTTACTAGCTGCCTAACCTGTCAAGCCCCTAAGTCTGAGTTGCTGCATCTATAAAATGGAGAGGAGATTAGCACCTAGCTAATAGGTTATTATTGTGGGAATCAAATGTATAAACCGTATGAAGTGCATAGCACAGCAATGGGCACCTAGGGTGTGTCCAATGAATGTTAACTGCCACCATCCTAGACTTGCTGCATGTGCTGCAAAAAACGCCACAGGGGGTATTTAATCACCATCTTTATGAAGCTAGGAGAACACTAACTTTGCCCCAATGATTATGATGGTTATTAATAATTATATATAAATATTAATATATATGCTAGAACCTGTACTCACAAGTGTTATTTCATTTAAGCTTCACATCAGTCCTCCTTTTACTAACCAACAGATCTCTAGGTTCTAGGGATCAGGCAAGATCCATTAATTATGAAGCGTCATGCCAATTCCAAGAATGATTACCTGATCTTTCAGATTAATATAAAAGGAAGAACAGCCCTATACCCCATGGCATGTGTCTTGGGTCTGACCCAGTGTGACAACCTCTGAACGTGCCACCCTGTGAGGTCAAGGTAGAGAGATTAAGGACTCTTCAGTATGGAAAGGCCAAGGCTGGAAGCTGATATGGTCACCATTTAGAGAACCTTGAAATGTAGACAGAAAATGAAAGATTCATACTCTAAATTCCATTGCTGAAACTTAGCAGGTCCAGATTTCAGAATGAACAGCTGTAACAGTTGCCCTGTTCAGTGTAAAACATTGTGGAACTCTGTAGAAAAAGAATACAAGTATCTTCAAAAAATACTATAAATTGGGCCGAGCCTGTGGAGCACTCGGGAGAGTGCGGCGCTGGGAGCGCAGCAGCAGCAGCAGCGCTCCCGCCGTGGGTTCAGATCCTATATAGGGATGGCCAGTGCGCTCACTGGCCGAGCGGGGTATGGCCGGTCTCAAAAAGGACAAAAAAAAAAAAAAATACTATAAATTTGTGATGAGAGGTCTACAACCTGTTGTCAAGAGAGAAAAGAAAAGCATTTTGTGGGGCCAGCCCGGTGGCGCACTGCTACAGTGCGCCGCTTAGGAGCGCGGTGGCGCTCCCACCGAGGGTTCAGATCCCACATACAGACCGGTTCCCGCTCACTGGCTGAGCGAGGTGTGGGCGCAACACCGGGGGTTGCGATCCCGTTGCCAGTCCCGGTCTGGTACGGGCGCGACACTGAGGGTTGCGATCCGTTGCCGGACACGAAAAGGGACAAAAAGGGGGAAAAAAAATAAGAAAAGCATTTTATGGATATTCTGAACTTTCTGAGACTGGCATTGAAGAGAACAGTTCCCCTGCGTATTGTCCCTAGAAATGTCGTTGGTTAGCAGAAACAAAATCTGATTTTTGTGTATACTGGTAGGTATCCTCCAGAGTTCAGTATTTTGGGTCTGATTTTTTCTCCAGGAAAAAAATCTTTTTTACTTGAACAAGTATTTGAGTGTGTGTTAACCATTTTTCCAACTTGTCAGCACTATTTATAGAAGTAATTTAAAAAAAAAAAAAAAACCTACAGTCAGATGTACATATAAAAAAAAAAAAAAAAGCTGCTGAATTCTCCAATGAAAACAAAAAGCACTAGGGTGTTTGGGGACCCATCATTTCCAGAACTGGAGACAGGGATTTGGAAAGAAATTAGAAATGTCAGGTAGTGTAAGAAGTGTTCCTTCCATTATATATACTTTTTGACATTGAGGGTTTTCAGAGCTACATTCTTCCCACAGATGTCATAAATTTTGTGTGTCAAACAATGAACGAAGCTATGTTGAGTGTTCATTAATATGAATGTAACTTTAGCCAAATTTCTGACAAATGGGCATCGGCCCAGAGGATAAGGCTGGTTCCTGCTGCCTGTGAGAGTTTTATTTCCATTTGTTACCAAGGCCTTGCAGAACAAAGAGCCAAGTCAGGGCCTTATCATAGCCTGCCAAGGCTGATGCCCTGAGCTTACTCAGTACTGACTCAGAGCTGAAAGGAGGCAATGGCCATCAAGGCCAGAAGAAAATGCGACCTGGGGAATTAAGTAGCTTGCTCAAGGTCATTCAGCTGGTTGAGTTTCACTCCCATGGATGCAGGCAGGAAGCCCGCAGGGTTAGCTTTGTACCCACTCGATGCTCACAATGTGACCCCATTAATGTTACCACTTGGGCAACACTTTCTTCACCCTCAAAGGAGGTGATTTCTCCTCTTCATGTGCTTGTACACCTCCTCGGAGCTGAGAACTAAGTGAGGAGATGCATGTAGTTGCCACCCCTCCAGTCCTTTTCCTGTTCCTCAGCCCTCAGCTTTCTTCCCCTGCATTGTCCTTAGGGAAACTGAAAGTAACTTTCTTCTTTTGAAATGAAAATCCCCAGTACCATTGCCCTGGAGGCCATTCATTGCAGGGCCACAGTACCCCACACATAAAAGACAAAATACATTTGTTGATTGGACAAATGGTCCAGAAACAAAGCTCAAGCAACAGTTTTGAAGTCATTAATCACCTGTGCGCAGGAGGTGAAGAATGTTTCAAAGTAATGGATTTCGCTTTTGAGCAAAATGCTGGCCCTTGAAAATAAATTTCTGTTACTCCGTTCTCAAACTGCATTTGGATTTGTTGGTGAGTGGAAGTGAACAGAATACAGAATACTGCTCATAAGCTTGGCAGCAGATATAAACGAAGGCAGTTCAAGTCCTCATTCATTTAGGTAGGACTGCTGTGGAATCCAGTCTCCAGAGGAAAGCTCATTTCAGGAAAGGTAAAAAGTCTTTTGTGTGTGTGGCAGAGGAACTCTTCTCTCATTCTGTCTCCCCAGGGGCAGACTGGGCATGGATGGGCCAGAGAAATAGAAGAGTCAGCTCATCCTGGTGGATGCTGTGTGGGGATGGAGGGTAGAGGGGCCAGCACACTTTATGATGGTGAGTCCTGATCTTTTTTCAACTCAGGAGATAGAAAGGATTTGGAGTACTAACTTTCCAATGGAACTCTTGTCGAGACTCATAAATTGAATATTAAACTTCCAGGTACCTGTATTGGGATAAGACAGCCCTCCAACCTCCCACAGAACTGGGTTTTGATGGCCTGACCACATTCTGCATCAGCACCCCCACTCCCCACCCCACCCCAAAGTCCGCTTCCTCTGTGAAGGAACTACTTGAATCGTGCTGTGGTCAAGGACACGAGTATCTGAAGTGAGCCCAGCCCCATCACTGTTCCCAAAAGGACTGAGGACTGTTGCTGAAAGTCCACTGATCTGCATATTAGAAATGGAAACCAGCGCCCACCCAATAGGGGTTTTTATTTTTAAGGGGTGTGCTGGCTTCCTAAGGATGGCTAACATATCTACATGTCAGGAACCTTGGTCAGCTGGGAAGTGATTAATCGCTGGTTTATTCAGCTTGAAGACTACCATTCTCAGGATTTGTTTTCCTGTTATGTTTTCACAAAGCACTCCTTTCCAGCACACTCTGGGACTGTCTTCCTAGCACCTTTCCACAAAATTAAAAAGGGACAAAGGCAGAATAATTTGCCAAGGAATAGGAATGCAATAAATGTAAA